ATAATTATTAATAACGAACTACAATGTTCGCTAATGACTGATTACTATAATCATGTTGCATTCATTTCCCTTACGCGCACCATTTCTCTCCACTAATACTAGCAGCGAATATTTTAGCAGCCGATTGTCATGTCATTAGTCTTGGACTGACTTGTTTGGTGTGAGCAACAGGAAATATTTCGCTTTCAGAGAACAAGAAAAATAGGTTTATTTGTGTTACGCTTATTAATTTGTGCAGTTATTCAGTGTCTGGTAAATTAATGTTCAAGAAAAAATATTACTTGTTATTACAATGTTTCATTATTTTATATTAACAATTATTTATTTCAGCCCTTTGTATTCAGCATGTCTCTATCGAAATAACCTACGTTTCTATGAAAATTGAAGCTTTTATTTTTTTGCAGCCCACATAAACTTAAACCTTGTTTATTTGGCCTGTGTTAGCCTTTGAGTTTGACATGCTTAATGTAGGTGCTGTGGGGTGAAGCCCACCTCCAATCCAGGCCTGCTCACTTCCCAGGTGCCTGGTTCACAGGTGTCATTGTCAGACAATGCAAGAGCCTGAAATAGGCCTGAATAGGTCTGCCCTTCGAACTCACTTGTGGGCATGTTGTAGATGTGACCATCCAGATGGGGGTTCCCAAGGGAGCAGCCTCAGTGTGTCAGGCACTTGGGAACGTGAACAGAACTGGGGCCTCTTTTACTCTCTCACTGGCAGCAACCACCTGTGTAGTCTAAGCATAGTTTGAACTTAGGGGAACATGGAGCTGTGGACCCCATCCTGCCCTGGAGGGGTCTGCAGCCTAAGTTGGGAGCAGAGTACACTCTTCCCAAAGGTTAAAAGTACTACCATATGGTGTGAGTCCATCTGGCAATTTCCAGGAAAGGTACCTCTAGAGCAGTGGTTCTCAACCTTCCTAATGCCGCGACCCTTTAATACAGTTCCTCATGTTGTAGTGACCCCCAATTTCATTATTACAAATTGAACATAATTAAAGCATAGTGGTTAATCACAAAAACAATATGTAATTATATATGTGTTTTACGATGGTCTTAGGCGACCCCTGTGAAAGGATCGTTCGACCCCCAAAGGGGTCGTGACCCACAGGTTGAGAACTGCTGCTCTAGAGAGAGACAGCAAAGCAAAGGTTGCCTTGGGAGTGGGGGGTGAAGGGTGTGGGGGGAGCAGGGTTGACTGTGGACAGCCTGACGGAACTTCCTGCCATTCTGGAGCACTGATCTGAAGTTAGATTTTAGAAAGAGACAGGCGCAGGCAGGCGAATGCTCAGGGTGTCACAGAGCAGCACTGGCGGGCCCTGCTCTAGGCCCTCTGTGGAGCACAGTTACTGAGCGCTTGCCGGGGCCCAAGCTGTGCCAGCACAGGAGGAATGCAGCCACCAACCAGGCAGGGGTGGCCTCTCCTCACGGACTTACACTAGGCACTGGACAGACAAAAATGAACAGAGATCCAGGAGGAAAGTGAAATGTGGCATGCGGGTAGCACCAGGCAGGTGGGGGCACAGGGGAGCGCAGAGCCAGGGCTGCTGGGGTTGGGGTCTGAGAGGTCAGGAGCCCGTCTCCCAAAGACTGAAGAATCGTTCAGTGGGCAAGAGCTCACTGCCATGTCTGACCGAGTGGCAGCCTCTGCCACCGTGACTTCTCGGCCTTGCCCCCCCCCCCCCCCCGCGCCTCCAGGGCTTCTGCAGAAGGCAGGCTCCACAGGGCCCAGGCTGGCACCTGACCTGAGGCAGAATCTTGGAGGACGTTCTGGCTTGGGATGGGCCCTGTGTTGGCACTGGCATGGATTTTACAACAGCAGCCATTGTGGGGCTCACTGCTGGTTGACCCAGGTTCTGACTAGCCAGGTGGATCCCAGGAGGCATTGCTTTCCACACACCACCAAGGTCACAGCCAGATGGGAGAGGGGGCCGAGCCACGCAGGTCTCAAACAGTAAGCTTATGAGGTTCCTGGCTTCTCATTAGATGTGAGAGAAAAAGTGGGCTTCAGTCCTTAGCTTGCCAGGCCCCACCAAGCGCTGTGCCTGTTTCCTCTCTTGCAGGGTGGGGACTTGATCAGGTTGCAGAGAGTACCAATTGAGGGGTGAGAGAGGCAGGCTCTGTTAATTTGGGGCACAGACTCTACACGTGGATGGTATTTCCACAGCAACATACTTGCTCTTGTTGGGCCCAAAGGTGTATAAACCTGAGCAGAACTGAAGTGTTGGTGTGGTGGCCTTCCCTATGCACAGGGCATCTCTGGCACAGGCCCCTCTCCCCAGAGAGCGCCCTGGCCCCTGAGCATCCTCAGGCAGCCCCTAGAAAAGGCCGTACCTTGCACCCAAAGGTGGGTGCTTGTAACTCATACATGGCTCCCAGCTCTGCCTGTGGACCATTCAGGTCTTCTCTCTGCTAGGCCACGGTCATGCCTCCCGGGAGCCCCACACTCAGCACTGTACCCTTTCTTTGTTGTTGTTGCTGGGTTGACATATGGCTTCTTTGGTTTTCACACTTTTTATTTATTTATTTTTAAAAAATATATTTTATTGACTTTTTACAGAGAGGAAGGGAGAGGGATAGAGAGTTAGAAACATCGATGAGAGAGAAACACCCATCAGCTGCCTCCTGCACACTCCCTACTGGGGATGTGCCCACAACCAAGGTACATGCCCTTGACCAGAATTGAACCCGGAACCCTTCAGTCCGCAGGCTGACGCTCTGTCCACTGAGCCAAACCGGTTAGGGTGCACTTTTCCTTTTTTAAAAAAATAGATTAGAGAGAGGAAGGGAGCGAGAGATAGAAACATCAGTGATAAGAGAGAATCATCGACCGGCTGCCTCCTGCATGCCCCCTTCTGGGGATCAAGCCCACAACACAAGCATGTGCCCTGGCCTGGGATTGAACCATGACCACCTGGTTTATGGGTCTACGCTCAACCACTGAGCACACCAGCTGGGCCCACTTTTCCTTTTGTCATCTTCTCATTCATTTGTACTGGTTCTAAAACTGAGACTTGGAGAGCAGGGACATGGGGGGCAATTCACCACCACCTGAGGGATTTGAGCTGAGAGCTCCAAAATGGGGTGGGTAGGGAGATAGGTAGCCTGGTAGTTCCTCCAAGGCCTCCCCTGTACCTGAGCACTGGATGGCCAGGTAAACCTGGCCCTGAGTGGGGGACCAGAGGAGCTGTGTGGAGGGCTTGGGAAAGCTGAGTCCTGGATTCCCAGTAGAAGTGAGGAGGTGACACTCCGAGGGGCCTGGGCGAGGATGCAGGGGTTCCTCCCTCAGGGAGCCGCTGCCTTCAGTGCCTACACTGAGGGGGCCGTCTGGCCCCATGACCTCAGCCCGGAAGGTGTGGTTTTAGGCTTCAGATCCCCTCAGTGCACCAGCAGAGCGTCTCACGTCAGGCAGTCAACTCACTTCCCTCTCTGGCAGCCACCGGATTTGTGAACGTCCTATTTTCCCATAATCAAAAGAAGTGAAACTGCCCCGTGAAATAGAGTGGAACGCCCAGAACACCTAGGGCAGACAGGGTCTTGTTAGCAGAAGCTGGAGGGCAGCCCTTGCCTCTCCTGTGAGGTCCCCTAGAGGATGGTGCACCACAGAGGACAGAGGACAGCCAGCAGGTCCAGGTGGTGACAGTCCCAGGTCAGCCCCACACACCAGCCCTGCTTCCTTCTTGCCCTCCCCCTTCCTGTCCCCTCTCCCCCCTGTACTGATCTCCTTTCTCACCTGTGCTGTTTCCTTCTTAGACTCCCTGGCTTTAGCCAAGTTGAGAACCACCGACTTCCCTCTAACTCTTGGTGGAGAGGCGGGAGGATACGAACAGGCTAGGCCTGGCCTGGCGTTCTGCTCAGTCCCCATGGAGGGACGACACACGTGGGGAAAGTAACAGTGGTCAGAGGTGAAGGCAGTGTGGTTGCCCAGTGCTTACTGTTTGCCAGGCACACTCCTGAGCACACATGCAGGAGGCCACAGAAGCCGGCACATGGTCCCGTGAGTGCCTATCTGTCACCCCATTTCACAGAGAAAAACAGGCCCAGTGAAGCCGCTTACCCATGACCCAGGACCACATAGGTAGAAGGTGGCGGGCCTGCCCTTGCATGTCAGTGACCTGGCTGCTCCCTTAGACTGAGCCGCTGGGTGTCCTCAGGAGCCCTGGGAGGGGTTTTCATGTGTGAGCAGAAACTGCTGCCAGCCATTAGGAAATGGAGTGAGTGTGTCTGTGTATGTGCCACGCGTGCATGAGTGTCTGATTTTTTTTTTTATGGCTAATCCTCACCCGAGGATATTTTTTCAATTAATTTTTAGAGAGTTGGGGGGAGAGAAACATTGATGTGAGGGAGACACATCCATTGGTTTACTCCTGCATGTGCCCCAACCAGGGCCAGGGATCGAACCTGTGACCCTTTGGCACACAGGGAATGCTCTAACCACTGAGAAACATAGGCCAGAGCAAGTATCTGTGATTAAGCATGAGAAATTAAACATGTCACACACTGCTGTTCGGGGTTGTGTGTGATTAAGCATGCCAGAGTGCTGTTCAGATGTGTGTGCCCACACATGTCCATGAGAAATGACTTCCAGGCAGCATAACATTTGGCCCGAGCAAGGCAAGCCTCTCCTTCCCTCAGCTCTTGTCAAACATGACACTTACCGTGTTCGTTCAGCCATGGGACCTCCTCTCCACCACAAACCTGCTCGCCTCTCAGGAGCCTCCCCCCGCCCGTTCCGGAGCATGCATTTTGAGGGATTTGCCATACCTAGTGACCCCTGAGATTCCTACTGAGAGAAGGAGCCCCGCCTTCATTACAGGAGCGTGTGGATTGGAGTGTGTGCTCGGTCACCCGTCTTGCCATTGGCTGCTGTGTTCAGCATCTCTGGGAAGCTATCATGCACATCCTGACCCTGTGAGCTCCCACCAGCAGTGGACGTGGCATGGCTGGAAGGCATCCGGGGGCCTCCTCCTCTGAGACTCATTCTTTTACCTTCTGTTTCCCAGCTCGTCAGCGAGAAGGTCGGAGGGGCTGAAGGGACCAAGCTTGACGATGACTTCAAAGAGATGGAGAAGGTAATGGGAAGAGTGGTGTGCCCTAATGTCTGGCACCATTTACCGAGTCCCTCATGAGGCCCAGCTCTGACATCTAGGACGAGGCTTATCAGGATGGACTAGAGGCATCAGGTGTCCCTTAGCCCTGGGCAGGCAACAGTGGGGACATGGTGTAATGAACAGGGAGGCCAGGCAGCCCTCACAGCAGCGTGTAGTTCTTATGTGGGCTCCGAGGCAGGCAGGGACTGGGGAGCAGGGCAAGGGTTATTCAGGGGCCCCTGGTTTGGCCTTGGGTACCCCGTGATTTTGAAACCACGCATGTTGCCTCTTTACAGAAGGTGGATGTTACCAGCAAGGCTGTGGTGGAAGTGCTGGCCAGAACCATCGAATACCTGCAGCCCAACCCAGGTAGGGGCACCAGCTAGCTGCAAGTTCTTCCGGTTACCACAGCATGAAGAAGGAACGTAAGGGATCACAAAACTAAAATGTCATGGGGTAGGTGGGTTTTAGGCATGGCTGGGTCCAGGTACCTAAAGGATGTCCTTGGGGTCATGCATTTCCTTTCTGCTTCATCTGGCAGCTCTCATTCCTTGTGTCAATCCCAACCTTAAATCACCTTTGCAGCTAACAGTCCCAGCAGAAAAGAGCACCTCCCAACCAACACCCCAGCCGATTCATTGGGTCAATTTGAATTGGGTGTTCATCCTAGTTTGTCAGGCACCAGCCACATGCTCGCCTTTGGAACATGAAGTGGGGTCTCTTAGGATGAGAGGGAAGTGGGGACCTTCCCTCAAGGAATATCCAAATGCTAGTTCCTATAGCAGGAGGCAGTGGACGTGGAACAGGTACCAAACCCAGGCGTCTCCATTCAAGGCCTATGCCAGGGACAGACCCAAGTGGGCAGAGGTAGGAGCATATCCATGTCTGGGATGCCCGTACCTGCCACCACCACTTCTCTAGCGTGCTGCTCCACCGCGCCACTGAGGGGAGGGTCCCCGTCAGAGCCATGCTCCAGGATGAGGAGGCCCTGGGGCTCCTGAAAAGCCATCGCCTCTCCTGCCCACGGCCCATGATCCTTCGTGGCCAAGAACAGAGTAGGGCAGGCCTGCTCAGGGGCCTCATAGCCTGGTTGGCAACAAGTGCCTTGGGCCAAGGGAGTACTTTAGAAATACGTGGGCCTTGGGGAAGAGCAGGAGCACCCAGGGCAGGGGCAGTGCTAGCTGAGCACAGGCCTGGTGGCTCCTGGAGAAACCACCCACATGCCCACCCGGCCCATTCTTTTCCAGCCTCACGGGCCAAGCTGACGATGCTCAACACGGTATCCAAGATCCGTGGGCAGGTGAAGAATCCTGGCTACCCGCAGTCGGAGGGCCTGCTGGGCGAGTGCATGATTCGTCACGGGAAGGAGCTGGGTGGCGAGTCCAACTTCGGTGAGGGCTGCCGTGACGGCCTCAGCAGGTTGCATGGGCAGGCGGCCAGGCTGAGGGAGGGAAGGCCAGAGCTTCCCCACACTGGTGAGCAGGAGGGCACTTCCCTCCCATAGCTCCAGAATCTTCTCTAGTGCTGGCTGGTCCCACGGGGGGAGGGAGAATCCCAGCACCACCTAAAGTGTTAAGGCTGAGGGAAGGCCTCCCCCTCACGCCACAGCGCGTTCAGGGCAAATCTGGTCCCTTCTGAGAGTGTAGAGGGGCAGGTTGCTTGACACTTGTCATTACCAGCCCCAGGCCACTGGCTCAGGAACAGACGTGATGGTCTGTTGCTCTGATTTCTGGTCAGTCCTTGGCTGTGGGGTCATTTTAAAAGTTGGGGGTGTCTTGGCCCCACAGGCATCCTGTGATGGCTTCTTCCCCACCCCCCACCCCCACAGGCGACGCCCTGCTGGATGCAGGGGAGTCCATGAAGTGCCTGGCAGAGGTGAAGGACTCCTTGGACATAGAGGTCAAGCAGAACTTCATCGATCCCCTGCAGAACCTGTGCGACAAAGACCTGAAGGAGATCCAGGTATGCCTTGACGCCCTGTCCCTCATGCCCACCCCCTATAGCCCTCAGGGGTCCCACATGGCTCCCTCGCTCAGTGAGCCTCTTCCCATCCTGGGCCCCTCTCGGCTCACCTCCGTGCATACTTGCTGCGAGCAGGGCTGCAGGGCATTGGGGGCTCTGCAATGTGACCCTCGCCCTGCCCCCAGCACCACTTGAAGAAGCTAGAGGGCCGCCGCCTGGACTTTGACTATAAGAAGAAGCGGCAGGGCAAGATCCCCGATGAGGAGCTGCGCCAGGCCCTGGAGAAGTTCGAAGAGTCCAAGGAGGTGGCTGAGACCAGCATGCACAACCTCCTGGAGACTGATGTACGTCCATGGGCCCAGGACTACCCTTGCTTGGGAAGCCCCTGAAACCAATGCCAGCATCCAAGGGCTCAGTGCCGGTTTAGGAGGTGAAGGAAATGAAGGGGGAGCAAGGAGCAGAGGTGGGCAGCAACTGGCACCCTGAGGCTTTCGGTGTTTTGGGCCCTTCACCCTTCTCCAGCTGCAGCTCTAAGGTCAGCCGGGCCCCAGTGCCTGGAGCAGTCTGGGAAGGCTCCTTGCAGGAAGTGGCCTAGAGATGGGAGTTAGAGGACAGCCCCCTCTTCAGCTCTGGCTGGTTGCTTGCAGATTGAGCAGGTGAGCCAGCTCTCTGCCCTGGTGGATGCCCAGCTGGAATACCACCGGCAGGCCGTGCAGATCCTGGACGAGCTGGCCAGCAAGCTTAAGCGAAGGTGAGCCCCTTCCCTTCTGTGCTGGCCAGGAAAGGCCTAGTGGCTGTGGGGTCCTGGGCTGGCAGCTGGCTTTTCATAATCTCTGGGCTGTGGGGATCCCACAAGGGAGTAGGACCTCCTCGGGCTTGTCCTGTCCCGAAGGAGAGGGTGGAGTGGCGGTGGGACAGGAGACAACCTGAGGGGGATGGGAGGCAGGTTACCCAGGGCAGACCCTAGGAGCCCTTCCTCCACTGCCATTCTCCTTCGTTGGCAGTGGTTCCCTGGTGGGGCCACTTGGCAACCTGAAAAATGCCCTAGTCTGGGGATCTGGCCCAGGGGGTCCCCCAGGATTCCCCTGTGTGTTGTGTCCATCTCACAGCCTCCCCAGGGTCCCACTGCCCATGTGGCAGCAGCAAAAACAGCTTGGGGCCGGGGGGTGTTGTTCTCTGGCCTTGACACCCTGGCTCATGATGCAGGCTCTGTGTCTGCTCACACCTCCCCCTTCACTTGCAGGATGCGGGAAGCCTCTTCGCGCCCCAAGCGTGAATACAAGCCCAAGCCCCGGGAGAGCTTTGACCTTGGAGAGCCTGAGCAGTCCAACGGGGGCTTCCCGGCCCCCAAGATCTCAGGTAAGGCGCTGGAGGGGCTGTGCTTTCCCAGGGCCTCAGAGACAGGCCCCTTGTGGGGCAGCCCCAGCTTGCTGCCCCATCCCAGCCCTCTGCAAAAGGGGCCCGAGATGGGACCAGGCCCCACCTCAGCACTCTCAGCCCACCTGTGTGCTTTGTTTGCAAGCAGCTTCGTCATCTTTCCGATCTTCCGACAAGCCCGTACGGACCCCCAGCAGGAGCATGCGTGAGTGTCCCCGCCTCGGTTTATAACAGTGCCTTCCAGTCTATCCTGCGAGGGTCTCTCTGCCTCCCCCGATCTGGTAGAAGCACACACCTGTTGGGGTTTCCTCAGGCCCGCAAGCAGGGAAGGAGCCGAGTTCTTGCCTCTGTGGCCTCAGCCTTCCCTTGGAAAACAGGCCGCTGTGAGCGTCCAGGGTGGGCTCTGGGCATCCTAATGCCACTGTGCGCCCCCAGCTCCTCCCAGGAGCATTGTGGTAACCACTCACAGAACCCTTTCCATCCTTCGTGTGTGTGTCACTTGTTCCTTATTCCCAACAACCCTGGGGAGCTCTCCTTAGGGGAAACTGAGGCACAGCGAGGCAGCAGGTGGGGTTTGAGCTGGACGCCCAGACCTTACACCCATACCCTGCCCACCCCCAGCGCCCCTGGACCAGCCAAGCTGCAAGGCACTCTATGACTTTGAGCCCGAGAACGATGGGGAGCTGGGCTTCCATGAGGGCGACATCATCACGCTGACCAACCAGATCGACGAGAACTGGTACGAGGGCATGCTCCATGGCCAGTCGGGCTTCTTCCCCCTCAGCTACGTGGAGGTGCTGGTGCCCCTGCCTCAGTGACAGCGTGGGCCTGCTCACCTCTCCGTCCAGATCGCCTGTATTCCACTCGGCCCGAAGCACAGCAAGGGTAGTGCTCCTCCCAGGGCCTCCCGAGGTATTCCCAGGGCACCAGGACTCGAGGCAGCAGGGCCATCGGAGAGGCCAGGGGCCCTGTTTACACTAGTGCTCACCCATCGAGGTGGTGGGGGCTCCCCTCCCCACCCGCCCTGAGGGGGGCTAACACTAAGGTGCTCTTAGAAACACTAACTTCCTCCCGCCCCTCCAGGACCGTGGGCGGGTCCCCTTCACTCAGACACACACATGCCCTCTGACCCCTCCACACTGGGGCCTGGCCCACCCTGACCTGCCCTTATTGTGAGCAGATTGAAAGTCTTTGTGATGGGGTGGTCCAAGCACCCTGCTTTTAAATTCCCCCAAGAACTCCTCCTCAGGCCCCTGCATGCCCACAGATGCCACCTGCTTAGTAGGGCCTCACCCAGGAGCCCAGTCCCCTAAGGACAGGCCCTGTCCTCAGCTGCAGGGTGCTGAGCCCTACACACCCATGCGCACCCTACCCCTGACCAAGCACATGGACCATTTCTGGCACAAGCTGCCACCACCAGCTACAGACACATAGACACAGACACACCATACACGGGACCATGGGAGCCCCCAGCTTCCTCTCTGCTGAAGGTCAAGCACAAAGGCTTTGATGAGTGAATGTTGCCAGACTCCTGGCTGCTCGGGAGGGTCACAGGGCCTCCCCCATCCCACGTTGGCTGCCCTCCCCCTGTTGACAGTATCCCCAGCTGTCTCCTCCAGACCAAGGTAGGCAGCTGCCCAGACCAGCAGGGCCCCAGCCCTGCATCCGCTTCGCCTCTTGCCTAATCTGAAATCGGCCTCGGGGGACCTCGGGCCTGGTTCACATTCCCTTCCCCAGTGACCCTGCACAGCCCCCATGACACCAGGCTCTGCTCGTCCCCAAGGCCCCCCCACCATCATGAGTGGGTGAGACACAGGCATCCGGACCAAGACAAGCAGCATAGCCTTGGTCAGTCTAGGGCAGAAGGAAATGTAATCCTGATTTTTTTTTTAAAAGAAGTATTAAACGTCTCTTTCTACAGTCTCTTGCCTGGTTGTGGTGTGGGGCAGGCCTTCTCTTCACCGGGACATCCACAGCCCTCCCAAGGGGTCTCTGGTCAGGACAGGGCCTACACAGCTGCCCACCTACCCACTCTTGGAGTGGGCACCTGCCCCATAGCAAGCCCAGGAAGGGTGGTTGTCATTCACCCTTCAGTGGCATGGGAGGTATGTCTCCAAGACTCCCCTCCTCACAGCCCCAGGAAGAGACAGGGCTGGGGTTGGGTCCAGCACTGTCCACACACTCGGCTGCATGAGCGCTCCACTGCCAGACAGCAGCCTGTGCCCAGCAGCAAGTGCTAGGAGGCCCCCCTCAGGGTGAGACACAGGCCTGGCTGTTTGCTTCTCTCCTTTATTCTGTGAGCACCTGCATCGAACAACGCAGTCCCGCAGGAACACAGCAACACAGTCATGAACGAAACCTCTCGACCTGCTCCCCTCACCCGGGGTTGGGGGGTGCCGAGTCTGCCCAGGAGGCCTCCCAGGTCCTCAGAGGTCGATCCTCTCAGTTCCCTTGCTTAAGGACGCTGTACACCTGCTCCAGCACATGGCACAGGCCCTGGTCCTTGGGCATCCTGCTGGCCAGGGAGATCTGAAACAAGCAGGCCTGGCGCCTCAGGACTATGTCCGGCAGGCCTGGCCTGGCCTCGCCCCCAAGGCCCAAGCGCTGCCACATGGCAGACGGGCTCGCCTACCCACGGTACACGGTGGTATCCCTAAAGCAATGCTTTCTTTTTAACAAAAGGGATGTTGAGTAACAAGACCCAGCTGACTAATGGTTGGGGTTGGGGGGTCATCTGCACTTTACAAATCCTGCTGTCACTCCAGCCTGGATCCCACTCGCCACATGCTGAGCGCCACCCAGCAGCCCCGTGCCTGGCTGGGAGGTGACCAGGAACAACATTAAGCCCTGGTTACTGTTTTCTTTAAAAGTTTGAACAGCTGGCCTGTGTGCTCAATGGTTAGAACATCAGCCTGGGCACCAAAGGGTCTCGGGTTCAATTTCTGGTCAAAGGCAGGTGCCTGGGTTGCAGGTTTGATCCATGGCCCCAGGTTGGGGTGCGTGTGGGAGGCAACCAACCGATGTGTCTCTTTCACATCCATGTTTCTCTCCACCCCCTCCCTTCCACTAAAAATCAATGGAAAAAATAGCCTCAGGTGAGGATTAGCAAAAAATAAAAGTTTGAACAAAACAAGCAAAAGTGTGAAACTTTCTCTATACAAAGCAAAGTTGAGAATATCTAAGGATGACTTTCAAACAGGAAATAAATCAGACACACACCGGAGGCCAATAAATGCCTAATTTAAATGTCCCACTACCTGGGGGGCCAGTGTGCACGTTCACAACACCAGCAGCTCTTAAGACTCTAAACCAGATCAGAACCCTGCACACCCTCTGTGTGTGAGTGGCCGCGGAAGGAAGCAGGGCCCAGCGCAGCTTCAGCGGGGCTGTCCCAGGGTCTGGGAGTCTACAGGACTTTAACGTTTCATCTCCACTTTGATGGTGATTCCCACCCCCACCCTCGTGATAAAACAAGGCTTTTTGGCACTGTTCATTTCCAGCTGGAATACTTTTGTAGAGAACAAGTTAGGGAATATCTTTCTCAAGCTGCCCATGGGTGTATTCTTGGGTGCTCCCCAAGAGCTGTCTTCCTACAGGAGGGGTTCACATGGGACTTGGGGTAGAAGTCTTACCTTGAGCTTGTCAAGGTAGGTGTGCTCCTGGTTCCAGGGCTCCTGAAACCTCACCAGGTCCGGGGCGCCCTTGTAGAACTCCACCAGCAGCATCTACAGGACAGGGGGTGGTTGGGACCCCTCACTCCCGCCTCCCCACGCCAGGCACTGGGATCCAGCAGTGAGCAGGACGGCGCTGCCGCTACCTATCACCTATCCTGAAGGATTCCAGGCTAATGCAACCAGCAGACAACACCGCTCACCAAGGAAGTCCACGGAGGAGCCCACCCAGTAGACAGGAGGGAGCTCAGGAAGAGGGAACTGCCCGAGAGGCTGAGGGAGGCACGCCGAACGTGGTATCATGCAGGCCTGACAGCCCCCTGCTTTAGCCTCACTAACGATACCCTGAAACCACAGGTGTCATGAACTAGCTCCGTTTTTCAAATGCCTGTTGAGCCACAGGCATAAACCATCCTGCTGACACCTGGAGTCCTCCACGTGTCTCCCCTTGGAGAGGAGCGGCAGGTGCAGAGGCCCGAGATGGGAGCATCCCTGGTGTGTCCAGAACAACTAGGAGGCCTGGGGGGTGAGGGAGGTGCTGCAAGGACCTGGGACTGCGTGCTAAGAGACACAGGTGGTTATCTCCAGAAGAGGGACCTGACCAGGGCCCTGGTGGCACATTCAGCCACGGCTGCCTGAGTCAGACCTTGTCCTGTAGGCCCAGCTAGGCCCTTTCAGACCCGGCCCGCCCCATGAGGAGGGCTGCACCCACCTCACCTGGGAGTGAGCTCACCATCTCATGGAGGATGTCATTCGTCAGGAAGCTGTCCTGGACGTAAGCCATCTCCACGTCCATGGGGATACCGTAGTCACTGGGCCTTTGCTGGCAGGGACACGGGCCAGTCACCACCAGCCGCCCCAAGCCTCCCACCCCGTGACACATCCAGCACGTTGACCCTTGGCCTCCCCCAGGAGCTCCACCTACCTCAGGGGGTGGCATCACCCAGAACGGGGAGATCTTGGACTCTGGGCCCTGGTTGCCAGAGTAGTAAGGGGCTGTGGGAGGAGAGTGAGAGAGGGGCTGGGCCTGGGGGGCTCATGGTCCAGGAGTCACACACACACACCTACCCCAGGGGGCACTTACAGCAGAGCAGGGCGAGGCAGGGCTGGAAGCCATTGCTGGAGCCCTGCAGCCGCAGCTGGTAGTCCATCTGCGTATCGATGTCCTGCAGCGATGGCAGCGCCGGGCTGTGTGGGTGGCTGTGGTACCAGCCCACCAAGGACAGGCCCCGCAGAAGCAGGCTCTGATAGATCTGGGGACAGAGGCAGGGCTGGAGAGGGCGGGGAGCTGGGGCCCTACCGGCCTTGCTGTACTCCTGACTCCCAACCAGCTCCACCTGAGAGCAGCACATAATGAGTATCTGCTGTGCACCAGGACTGCGCCCACCCTAACAAGTCCGGTTGGGGGATGGTCAACAAGAACATAAAAAAGATGCACCTGTCATGAAACAAAGGCAAAAAGTGATTTTCCCTGCTGTGTCCCAACTCCTGCTACAATGCCTGCCACACAGAAGATGCTCAATAAACAGTTAAGGAGGTGGATATGCGTGCATTTGAGCAGGCACAGGCATTCTGAATGCCTGCAGCAAGTGGAGGCAAGCAGGGGCAGAGAGAACAGTTCTCGCTGAATCAACATCCATTCACTTATCCCTGAGAGACACAAGAAGGTGGGTGTAGAGCGCTGAGCACGGAGCCAGGTGCATACTAAGACCCATTAGGAAAACATCAAGAATGGCAGCCTGATGGGGGTGGTTCAGTGGTTGAGCATCAACCTATGAACCAGGAGGTCACGGTTCCATGTGTCCTGACCTGGTTGCTGGCTTGATTCCCAGTGGAGGTTTGCAGGAGGCAGCCAATCAATGATTCTCATCATTGATGTTTCTCTCTCTCTCCTTCCATCTCTCTAGCTCTTCCTCTCTGAAATAAATAAAAATATATTTATAAATAAATAAAATGGCAGTTAAGCCCTGCTGGTTTGGTTCAGTGGTTAGAGTGTCCACCCATGGACCAAAGGGTCTCGGGTTCGATTCCCAATCAAGGGCACATAGGTTAAGGCAGTGGTTCTCAACCTTGGCTGCACATTAGAATCACCTGGGAATCTTTTTAAAATCCTGATTTCTGGGCCTCATGAGGTACATGTACCTCCATTGGAAGGCAACCAATCGGTGTGTCTCTCTCACATCGATGTTTCTCTCTCTTTCTCTCTCCCCCCTCCTCCCTCTTCCACTCTCTCTAGAAATCAATGAAAAAAATAGTGAGTGAGGATTAAAAAAAAACAAAACATTAAAATGTATCCAGCCCTTACTAGGTGTCAGCTGGGGCAAGGGCTCACACATGCTCATTTGCACATTTTTTGAGCACTGACTTCGCCAGCTGCAAGAACAGCTGTGTGCACCCATCCCACCTCAGAATGCCCCATCCAGTGTGTCCCCTCACCTCCTCTTCAATAGTGGCCCCGGTATCCACGTCCCCCAACCGGCTGCGACAGGGAAAGGCTCTCAGCACCGTGAGCACTGCACAGAGCGGGGAGAGAAGGCGTGAATATTGGCCCGGCCCCCAATATCCCCCTGCCCACTAGGCCCCAATTACCCACTCTGGCTGTTGATGTCCCAGCGGCCCCCCAGGTACCCCACGACCTCGCTGCGAGTTAGGTGGCTGTGGAAGTCCTGGGAAGAGGTACATGAGAAGACATAGGCTACACCCGGCCCCAATCCATCCTGGGAGTGGGAGTCCAGGGCCCTTGTAATGGACAGGGGCCAGCCCTCCCACCTCCTCCTTCACCCAAACATTGACTGAGCACCTATGAGCAGACAAGGTACCCACGCACATAGAGCTGACATTCCAGGGACCCCATCTGTCTCCAGAGCACCCAGCCCTCTGCCCAGACCTGGGAGCCCCTGACCCACAAGGCACACACCAGCAGGAACAGCACGTTGCTGGAGATGGCCACATTGAACGGCTGGAACTTGTTGATGGCTGCGAAGGATGTTACTTCCACCAGGGTATGGGGGTTCCTGCAGAAGCCCGAGGGTCCCACAGCTTCAGGAACCCCTAGGCTGGCTCCTCAGCCCTCCCCCCAGCCAGCTCTGAGGATCTGAGGCCTTGCCCCCGCCTTACTCCTCCACCCACCCCAGCAAGAGCTCGTGTAAACTGGGGTTCGTGTGGGGGACATGGACATATCTGACCTGGCAGAGTCGCGACTGCCCAACATGCAGTACCGCACTGGCACCCGGATCTTGTTTTCCACTCGCTTCCCCAGGGGCGTGGCCTCTGCGGGGTTGGGGTAAGGCAAAAAGGCAGCGTCAGTCCCTCCCCAGCCTGGAACTGGAAATCAAAGACAGGACAACCCAAGAAGGAAAAAAACCCTAGAGGCAGCCTTAACAATAAGGCAGCGGGACTGGGAAATCAGGCGGCAGGTTGATAAATGGGACGGAGATTTAAAATCAGATGAAGGGCCCAAATCAGGCGAGGACCTCAGAAGACCAGGTTGGGGAGAAGGTGGAATTAGGGAGCAAGTTTAGAAATCAGACAACCGGGCAAAGAAATCCTATTGGGGAACAAGGAAAGCAGGCAGCATGGTGAAAAAATTGGGCAGCACATTAAGAAATTGGTCAGTGGAAAAAAAAAAAGGGAAGAAATTGGTCAGTGGGAGCAAGAAATCCAGCATTAGGCGGTGAGAGTGAAATTAGTGGGCTGGGAAGTCAGCCAGGCATCTTGGAGGCACCGAGGAAAAGAAAGCCCATACCCGTCCACAGCCTCCTCCTGCACCTGAGCTCTGCATGTCGCCCACCCTGCCTCCTCCCCTCCCTCACGCCTCTCACCAGGGTGGGCAGGTTCTGAGGGGCCCTTTGCAGGTGGTCTTCGACTTTTCTCCTCTGCTGAGACCCCTGCCAGAACCTCCTCCTCCTCTTCCTCCATCAGCAGCTCCTCCTCCTCCCCTTCACTGGCTGGGCTCTGGCGGGGTGGGGGTGACAGCAGCGGGTCCCTCAGCTGGGTGCACTCCACCCTCCCCAAGTCCCACCCAGACTGCTGGCCTGCCTGACCCTTAGGTCCTTGCCGTTGCCTCAGATGTCCGCTAGAGGGAGGGAGTGAGCAGAGGCGGTCTAAGGCTCTGGCCTGCTCAGACCTGAGCTCCTTCATGTGCCTGTCTCACAGGTTCGAATCCTGAACAAGCTGTGTGACTTTAGCGCCCTAACCTATCTGAGCTCTATGGTCACCTGTAAAACCGCACAATGACCTCTAGCCCAATAGGGCTGGCGTCAGGGTGAAACAAGTTAATGTGTGCAAAGAATTTAGCATATGCTCAGTTGCTCCATTGAGCAAGCACGCACTTTGCATGGATTATGTTATTTAATTCTCTCAATAACCTCTCTTCTTGCTCTCTCCTAAACCTCCCTCACCAAGGTGACTTCTCTGTGTCCAAACCCAACAGTCACATTTCATTCTCTGTCCTCCTCCCCCTCCCAGCAGCATCGGACCCAGCTGGTACCCCATCCTCCTGGGAACTTCTCAGGGATCCTGAACTCACCCAGCTTCCCTGTCCCCCTCCAGGGTCCCCTCAGCCTTCCCATCTCTCCCTTGTTGCCTAGGGCAGGATCCTGGGGCTTCCTCCCTCAGGAAAGGCTGGTCTACTCTCAGGACTCCAATCCTGCCCATGCCCCAACGATACCCACGGACCTGTCTACATCCTGGAGTTCTCCTGCGCTCCAGACTCAGGGTCCGCTGTCCGTCAACATCACCATGCAGGGGGTGCTCCCACTCAATACAGCCATGATGCACCCGACCAGCCCCCCAAACCTACTCCTCCCAAATCCCCGCATCTCCAATGACAGCAACCCCATCTACCCACTTGCTCAGAACAAAACTCTTAACACCAACATTTAATCCATCAGCAAATCCCATCAGATCCACTTTCAAAATTAGTCAGAACCTGACCACGTCTCCATCTCAATGGCTGGGCTGGTCCGCCCCACCATCGCCCACCTGGACCAGCATCCAAGTCAGTCTACGCCAAAAACTGAGGTCGACCTCCCAGACAAGAAGGAATTCTGCCTCAAGACTGCAGCACCAACTCCTGTCTGAGTTTCCATCCTGCCAGGGGCCCCACAGATTTAAGACTTGCCAGCCAGGTATGTACACACATACTTAAGAGACCTAAATTTGTCTAATACACATGGTACTGCTATTACCATTTCCATTTTACATATGACGAAGTCTAAGGCTTAATCCGGGAGGCCGAAGGACGCACCTCATCGGCGACAGCTGCAGGCACGTGGAGCTGGTGTCGCCGGAGCCAGGCGGCCTTGTACTTGTCCAGTTTCTGGCCCTTGTACTTGACGGAGGCCCAGCCACACCCTGACTTTCTTGGCGGGTTCACCAGCTTCTTGCAGTGGGTGGCCCAGGCGCTGGGTGAGTTGAACACCTGCCCTGTTTCCTGCCACACGATCCTCCCGTCTGGCTGCAGGGCCCCCCATGAACTTTCTTTCCCCTGCAGCGACAGTGGGCTGGCTGGGGCCCCGGGAACTTGGAACCCACCAAGGCCCTCCTCCCGGGAAGCCCTCCCTGACCCAGTGCTGCTCCCAGGGCTCAGCACCCAATTTCCCACTTCAGCACCCTTCCAAGAAGCTTTCCATCTTAGGTGCCTCCCTGTACTTATTGTGTCCACTGCCACAGTCCTGACCAGCTTGGATCAAAACCACCCAAGTATGTGTCTATCCCCCTTCCCCTTACTGTGAACCCCCAAAGGGCAGGGACAGGGTCTGTCTTTATCCCTGCTGTGTCCCTAATACCTAACATGCTGGTACACAGCAGGTGCTCAATTCACAAACTGTACCATTCACAAACCAAACAACAATAGTAATACGAGCAAACACAAAGCACTTACTGTGTAGCAGACACCTTGCTGAGCGCTTTATTCATTTAATTCTCATACAACCCCATGGGAGGGGGAAAAGTCCCATTTTACAAGTAAGGAGACTAGAATAGTAGGATACTGAGAGGTTGAGCGAGGTCACACAGCCAAGAAAGCAGTGGTATCCTCGCTGAGCCCCAATTTCTCCTTTGCAGAATGGGGTGTCTGATGAACGGTGGCCTTCTGGGCTCGTGCTGGGTCTGGATGTTCCGTGCCTCAGTTTCCCCTCCCCATTCCCAGGCTCTGCCTGCTGCAAGGCAGCTCTGGGCCTCAGTTTCCCTTCTTGCCCCTGCTGGGATGGGCTGGGGGGCTGGGGGGAGCTCACCAAGTAGTAGATAGACAGCACCCCGGCGCCGGGCTCCAGCTGCGCGTCTTTGAGGAGCACCCGCAGGGTGACCGCGCGCCTGGTGAGCGCGCCCCCCGGCCCGCCGCCGCCCCCTGCTCCCGTCCCGCCGCCGCCGCCGCCGCCGC